ATGTCCTGGCAGTAGGCCATGGTGGAAAAAAGAACTTAGACTGAGTATGAAAATTGACTTTTGACATGTACTTCCAAAGGTAAGTGCTGGCACTCTGCGTAGCACATCTGAAAGAAATTTGCATTGGTTGTAAAACAAAAACGAGACACTTTTTTGCAGGCTCTCACAGACTCAGCTTTCTCACTTGTCTTCAGCATGCTTCACTCCAGCTGCCGGGGCCATTCCTGTGCTTACAACAGTTTCATAGTTGTCTCATCGCCTCTAGAAGTTGTTTGAATATTAAAATTTTTTACTGTTCCACTCCACGGAATTAAAAGATTCAAGACACTATTTCACAATATCTACAAAAACATACATGGTTTTTGTACTACTTACTTCCTCTCTTTGTCATTGGGTTATTATTGAGCAAGCTTCTTTTCTCTGTATCCTTGCATATGACGTATTCCCGCATGTTCTAGAAAACATAAGGTCTTTTTTTGGTGCTAGCTTGAATTGGCTTGGGAGTAAGCTTTATCCACTACCTCTTAGTCAGAGGACCTCACCCCCACCTTTGCCAGTGTGTTGCGTGACCCACTTCTACCCCTTGGCTGATATTGTCGAAACTGTAGGTATGCTGAATTGAAGACAGGTAATCTTGCGCACATTGACAGAATCTTGGACTGCCCATCTGGGGAGGACTGGCGGTTTACTGGTGAGCTCCGGCACAGTGTACGAGCTGTGGTCCTGCAGAATGGAGTCCCAGGTTCAACAGAATGGTGTAGGGGAGGCCTGGGACTTGGCTCCTCCCTGTCTCTCAGCTTTCCTCATCTCACTGTGAAATACTTCAGTAATGTAAATTCATGGCATGTCCTTGAATAGGCCGTGCCATTTCTTAGCTCTTTGGCTTTGCTTATGCTATTTAATCTGCCTGGAATGTCTTTCTCTTTTTCCCCTGGCTACCTCCTACTCATCCTTTATGGCTTAGTTCAGGCATCCTCCTCCTCTGGGTGGGTTAAGTCTGTTTGCGCGTGTGTCTGTGTCTGTGTCTCTGTGTGTGTGTGTGTGTGTGTGTGTGTGTGTGTGTGTATTTACACTGCACATTCTCAAGATTCCCTCCTATGAGCTCCCAGAGAAGAGAGAAGGGAGAGAATGTCTTAACTTTTCTGTCTGCAGATAGATACAAGTTCAGATACGTTTTTCGTTGTTGTTGAATGGAATAGTATTTAAGCCGCTCAGTTTGGTTGTTTCAGGCGTGACCATAGGAGTCAGAAGAGGCTGCTCGTGATTCTGTGGTTTAAAGAGAAAAATTTATGGGATTAATAGATACTTATAATAAGGCATATTTCTAAATCAGTGATGTTAGACAATTAACATAAAATACTTCTTTGAGTAGCTTTTAAAAGCTACTTCTCTTTGGGAAGGAAACAGGGCAGGATTTTCAAAACCCATCTAGAAACACCAAAGCTAGCTTTTGCGCGTTGTTCTTCAGGCCAGCCAGTCAGAAGCCAGGGTGCCTGCAACCACTTTTTTTCCCTTTTGATTTGTGGTACCTTTGGCAATGTGAAAAAACCCTAGGACATTTCTCTCCTACTCTTTTAATAACTTTTTGCTTTTGAAAAACATCAAAAGCTGTTCTTCTTGTCTATACTTACAGTGTTTCTCAGCATGGTGGCCCTGATTTTGGTTTTTGATGATACAGTGGATATGACAAAATGAATACTACTAGCTTCATTGACTAATGTTATTTTCTTTGGCAACAGAACCTACAAATATAATCAGTCTAATTGGATGTTTGCTAATATTAGGACCCCGTGTGAATCATTTCCTGTTCTCTGTGAAAAGTCGTAAATCAGAATGCTGGTCATTACAAGCAGCTAAATGTGACATTATAACATATTTCTTGGGGCTTTTCTACCCCAGAAAGGCCTCCCTTAAGTATCCTCATGTGATCTCCCTGACTTTCTCTCGAGCGCCAAGCCGAAATCTCAAAAGGAAAGAGGCTTAGTTTGTATTGTTGTTAGCTTAATAAGTAGGTCAGTAAGTCTTTGTTAAAGTTGGTAAATACCCAAGGTGTCAGGGTAGGTTCCTCAGACGTATTTACCAATGAGATAGTGTTCCAGAAGTTTAAAGATAGATGACTGTTAGCTTTAAGAGAGAGAGAGAGAGAGAGAAACCAGTAGTTTACTATGTGAATGAATATAGCCAGTGTGAAAAAATTTTACATTATTCAGTTAAAGAATGATGGATAATAGTTATTCTGCAGTAGTCAATATGGGTATCCAACCAGGTCCCTAAATTTCAAATTAGAAGCTTTAAGGATCGATTACTGCTGTGGTCCTAGGTGCATTTTAATGCTCTTAGGCTGATAAATGTGAAACTTTTATTTTTATCCATATTTCCCAATTAAATAAAGGTCTTCTTGGTCCATTAGACCTAAGAGAAACCTTGTTTAGACTAGCATATAGACTTCCTTATTAAAAGATAATGTATGTTCTAGAGTGGCATTTGCGTTGAGTAAAGACTATTTTTCAGCTCTGTGGTTGGTTACTTAGCTTTGAGGTAGTGGTTCTGTACCTTTTATAAATACCGGCATCAGTCTCTCTATTCTACGGTATCTTCCATGGACATTACGAAGATAAATTCTTGGAAATTAGACCTTTCAAGGATCTTTTTAAAATCTTCCTGAATTTACAAGTTCAATATCAAGCTTTTGAAAACATAATAAATGGTTAAATTTTTGAAATTAATTTCTTAGAACTTTAAGTTTTCAAAAAATTTTTATGTTAATTGTTTTCTCTCTTTTTGTAAGTATTTATTAGATGATTGGATGGTTAGGAAACGTTTGAGGCAAATACATATAATACATATTAAATGTTGCAGAGGGACCCTCTTTTTACCGAATAAATAAAAATCGGTTTGCAGATGAACTCATACCAATTAATTTGGTATTCATTGCTGAATGCAAGTGTAATCCTTAAACTCTATTCTCAGATCTGAATAATTCTATGATTTGGATAACTCACATTCCAAAAAAGAAATTTAAATTGAACTCTGAGGATGTTGGGAGTTTATTTAAATCAAATAACTTGTGTAATCTGTATATATATGTAATGTGTCTGGGCCTTTTCTCTGCCCATTTGCCTCTGCTACCTGCTGATATAAGTATTTTAATAAGCATTTGCTAGACATCTCTGGATAGAGTTTGTTGTAGTGGAAAGCAAACAAGTTTGCTTAGAGTCGGCACGGGTACCTTCCAGTTCTAGTTCTGCCATCCGTTAGCCCTTGTTCCCTTGCACGTGGGACAAGTTGTTATTTCAGCAAATCAAGCTCTCCTGATCCTCGGTTTCCTCATCTGTAAAATGGAATAATAACCTGTCTTGCTAGGGTTGGTGAGGGTTTACTATGTCAGCTGCCTGGCGTATAACAAGAGCTTGATAAACGGCAGCTATTTTCATTATACCATAGTTTATTCAGCATCTTTGTGGCACTCCGAAAGTGTTAGGGCGACAAAATATGTATGCCTGAAGTATCAGTGACACGCGCCTACCGTGCTGACGGTGGTGAACTTTGGAGTCAGGGCATGCATCGGAAACCAGAAAGCAGCTTGGATTTTTATTCCACCCACTTCCTCTGGTTTGTATTCTTTAACTGCCTTTCTAAATAATCTCAGTACTGTAGCGACGTTGTAGGTGAGGTGTGACTACTAAGTGGCAGGTGCTGGGTAGGAGCCCAGGTCTGCCTGAGTTCAGGCATAGCAGCAGTCTTTGCTTATTACAGCTGGAGTGACCATAGAGTTTATCTTCCAAACTAGAACACTTCTGGGAGTGAAACTTAGACTGAGACAAGTGTAATCCTGGACTGTTCCAAGAAAATGAGGATGTTCGACCGTCTTAATTAGGCCAGGGTAAATAAGTCGATGAGGTCGGGTTTAAGACTTCTGGAGTATTGGTTAAACCCAAATACCCACATTCCGTTTTCTTCTACATGGTTATTGATTTTGCCATAGTAAATTAATTGACCTAAGATCTGAAAAAGTACTTATTAGAATACCATAAATAATCTAATGCTTTAAAAATACTAGCCATAGTGCATGTTTATTTTTCTATTTTACCTTTTTTCTTAATTCCCTGAAAACCAGGAAGCTTTTCAAAGAAAATGGGACTAGGTAAATTAAGTAAGCTTTTAATTCTTGCTTGTGTCAAATGCACTTTGTAAACAAAGTCCAAAATGAAAATCATGATTTTCCTAAGTTTTTTCTTTGGGAAGGCAGAGAAATGATGACACAGAAAATCAAACGTGTTTTTAATCGGCCTTTTTTATTGCCTGTATCTCTCAATAGATCACTCATTTT